CCAAAATTAACATAAAAGAAGCTACGTTTTGTTTCAGTCCTGGTGGCAGCATTATTGCATACCGGTTTACCAAGTGTAATACACCAATGTTCTACACCATGAGTGGCCAATCTTCATCTTCCAGTGTTATATTGCATGTAATTACTGTAACTTCTTATTCAAAGGAAAAGAGATAGGCAAGTACTGAATTTCAAGCCACAATAAGTAACATTGAGATTTCTGAATACCTACATCATTAGACATTCAAGCAAGATTTTTCTCCAGTCTGTTGTTCAGGGTTACAGGTTACAGTGCAGATAATCCAGTGATTCCAGTTTTACACATGCTTCTGAAAAGCAAAGATGATTAAAATGTTTTCAATTGTACAATTACATGTGTGCCATGTCAGGTTAAACAGCCTAGAAACAGCCTTCAGGAAACTCAAGCTGTTCTAATCTATGGTTTAGGAAGGCTCAAATGTCAAGGACTTGCTCTTGAAAGCAAGTTAAAGGGTTGGAAAGAAAAGAATTTGGGGCAAATTAGGGGACAAATGTGTGACAGGATCACCAGAGAATCTTTAATCTGTAATTCCTCTGCTTCTGTGACATAACTCTAAGTGTTCTCTGAAGGTCACAGTCTGACAGAATCTCTTTACTTTTATTGCGTCATCATCATTGTCTAAAACTATGGTGACTAGTTTAAGTTGCTAGTCTTAAGGCTCTCTTGCTAGAGTCTTCCAATGTTGTGAGGAAATGATGCACTAAGGGACCTTTGTGACATAGGCTGGGCACAGGCCTATGCAAGCGAGAAAAAAAAATGATGAGGTGAAATATTAACTCTAATATAATTTATTGAGGTATGGGCATATAATGTCAGGGAAGAGGAACAAGCTTATTTAACATCAAGAAGTCACCATGCTGAGGAAGGTTATGCTAAATCTGATTCCTATTTATTCAATTCTCAATGGAAAAGGAACCAGCCTTAAGTTGCAATCCTGTAAGTTAAGTTGCAAGTTTGAGTATACAGGTATACAGAATTATGCTCATACACCTATTCAGAAACAAATTTTGAAGAACAGAGAAATATCTCTATATCTCATCACACATGAGAAAAGTTCAAAGGCATACACTTCTAATCATACCATGTTGGTACACTGTAGAAGTGCCCCTTGTATTGTACCACTTATAGCTTACCTAAGTATTAAATATTCTGATAATCCAGTTTTTCTTATTTGCTCCCTAATTCACAATCACATATATGCTATTCTCTTTGTGTGTCAGCCCTTCAAGGTAGGCTAGATCAGGAAACTGATTCCACAAGTTTAGAGACTGGAACTATAATTATCTAAGCCAGTGTTTCTCAACCTTAGTAACTTGAAGATGGGTGGACTTCAACTCCCAGAATTCCCCAGCCAGCCAAGAATTCTGGGAGTTGAAGTCCACCCATTTTCAAGTTGCTAAGGTTGAGAAACACTGTTCTAAGCTATTGTAACAGAATCTTGAAAGCCTGACTATGCTTTCCCTTCCCTTCCTCTTACACCCCAGAGAAGCCATTCTGACTCTTCCTAAAGTTTTCTTTGTTTCCTGAACTTAAAGCATGGTTTTGTACGTTGTTGTAACCGTTTCTGCATAGTCCTTCCAAGGTCATCTCTGAGACGCTCTACATTATGGAATAGATTTTGCTGCACATGGAAAAACATTGGCTGAATTTTCTAATAGGTCATATGTATTGCATACAGATCCGGCCCACAGATGTGCACAACTGTTCCCTCCATGGATCCGCTAGTGCCAGTTGGTTCATGTCTAGACTGAAACATGTATGTTCGATTCCAGGCATGGACCAAAACTTGCATGCTCCCAGGAAGTGTTGTCCCAGGAATCTTCTGAGCTTGTTGACCTGGCGTGCTACACCCAATTAACACACAAGGCACAAGTCTCTTTTTAATGGCTTTATTCTCCAGAGTAAAGGGCACCTACAAATGGACTTTTCAAGGCAAGCGAGCCAGCTTACAAATCAACACATCTTTTATACAGTTCTAAAACCAAGAACTACATAATCATTGGCAGACAGTAATTATTCACATCCTTGGGTGGACAAAACACTCCCAAAGGTGTCCACGCTTTGTCGTTGCTAAGGTGGTTTCTTATCTCTCTGCTTGTTAGCATGGGTGAGCACAGGGTTTCACTACACTCACACTTCTCAGCTCCAACCGATAAGAAATGCTACATTCAAAGAGAAAGAAATTTGGACGCAGGTTGCAACTTAATTGTCTGCTCTGTTCCCAGCAGCTAGTGAAGGTCAGTTCTGGGCCGTGCATGTTTCTGCTGCCTTCTTCAAATTAACTCGAAAATCACCATTCCATTAGCAGAACTGTTTCAGGGAGGAGCAGAAAAAAATCCAAGGATGTCGGCAGCCACAGTGGGTAAGCGGAGACAGGAAAAGGAAGTGCTGGGAAGTTTGGAGATCAAGCTGGCAGACAGGCCATGCAGAGGAGGAGGGGAAGAGAGGTAGGAAACACACCAGCCTTGCTGACTCAACCAGTAAGACCCCTCTAGATTTTGGGGGGCCAAAACCTGGAACAACCAAAATGTTCTAGAATTTGGTTTGCTGAACTGTATCCCACCTGCATGGTAGAACTTCTAAAATACAATGTGTATATTTTGGGTTTGAAAGAAAATATATTTTCCATGTTATGCACACCTCTAGTTTAGACTTCCTTCCTTCCTTCTATTTATATTCTGACTTTTCTCCAGGAGCTTAGGCCATTGGTCATAATACTCTTACTTCCAACTTTTCCCACAACAGCCCTGTAGGGAAGATTGGTCTGAGAGAGCATGATTCGCCCAAAGACATCCCACGAGTTTCGGTGGCTGAAAGTAATTTTAACCTGGGATTCCCTAGACTGAGTCCAACATTTTAAGAACCACACCTAGGTCTCACTTTTGTGCTGCTGCAAATCCCCCCACCCCAAAAACCTTAGAATCTCAAAAATGGGTTCATTAATTCCCTGGTGGGCTTCAGAGACTTCTTTTAAGTAACAGCAACCATCCAGCCTCAAAGAACAAATAAAACAAAAAGTATGGACCCACTATTACCATGACAGCCTATGATCCCTTGAGAAATTTGTATATAACTCTGAAGTATATAAAACAGCTTCCTATATTCCTATAAAATGTCATATGGTAATGCTTCCACACTAAACATTTACTGTGGAATTGCTGTTCTTCATCTGTGTGCAAATTTGTTGTGTCCAGTATTTTTTTTCCCTACCCTAAGGTACCAACAGAACTGCACTGCACTTGATGCTCCACACTCCATGGGATACAGAGGACTTTTTGTGTTCTTGCTGATCCTCAAGATTCAGGAGAAAAATAATGAAATATCCTATGTAATGTAAAATGTGACTGTCAGTGTTGTTTATAGGGAAATAAATATTTAGTTGTGCTGATCTTTCTTGTCACTATTGGAAGCAGCCTTGGCAGTAGTTTTGTGGCCAATGTTAGCTCTTTTGCTGCTAACTCGAATTAGCATAGAAACAGACTGATAGCATAATTCTGATCAAATTGACTAAGTCCTTGTTTTCAAGTCCTTAGAAATGAAGTTTTAAGTAGGCTCTGTACTAAAATGCAGAACTAAGTTTATTCAGATTGAACTGATACTATAAAGGGCATGGGAGGAGTGGGGAGAAAGGCAGCAGAATTTTGAGAATTGTGGGTTTTCCCACACTGACTCACAGAATAAACATTTCTTAAGCAAGAAGCACTACACTCTTAACAGGTTCTTAGGCAAGTAGGTCATGACTAAGAAACTGCTTTTTTCTCCTCTCTTTCTATTGGTGCATCTTGCAGTGAATTCAAAATGATATGCACTAAGAAATAAGATTTTCATTCTGCAGCTGTTAGTAGCGAAATCAAGTTCAAGCATAGAAATGAGACACGTGGCTTGATGAAGGAAAAGGTAAAAATCCACTGATATATTCAAACAACTGATACAATGTAATCATGAATTCTTCTTTTCCAGACAGGTTAAAATATACTCTCTTGATTAAGCTATACAGTACATATCTGGGTCTGCATATCTTCTACAGCAAATTATTTGTGCTTGATTATTTTTAAGATTTGAGAGAAAGCAATAGAAAAAGATTCTGAGCAGGTGTGAAGGTTTAACTTACATTAGATAAATTACCTAATCTTCCATTTTCCCTATTTAACTGGTGTATTGCTTTTTCAAAATACAGGTTTGGTTTTGTTCCTTGGTTCTTTTGTTGAGAATGTCTTTATGAAGCATTTTGAGCAGATGCTGCACAATTATAGCCTTTTCCTACCTAGTAAACTATGTTGATTCTTTAGCTTTGATGTATGCAAATGTACATAGATACACAGTCTGCTTTTCCAGACTGCAGATATTGCTAAATGTATTTGAATTGTGCCGGTTCTTAGACAATATAGTGTGTTATAAAATTGATTTTATTCCTTTGCATACTAAGTACTATTATAAATACAGCCAGATCTAAACTGTTACACTTACATATTCTATTAAAGCTTTATTTCAATAAAGGAGGGGATATCTGTCTATTTGTTTCAAGAGAGAATTGTTATAATAGCATTATCTCTTCCTTTTAAACTGTTTTACCCATTTATTCTTTTTTGTTTCTCACTCCAGATCCCTTGTTAATGTAAGTTAATAGAATGTGGTTTTTCAAGCTATGGTCCCTTACTGAGGATCTCTAGAAGTCAGATTTTCAAGACTCCATATATTAGAATGATCCCAAGTAATATTTCTTCCCAATAAACACAAGAGTAAAAAAGAAAAAGTTAAATACACAGGCTATTAAAGTACCTCTATATATTTAGCTACAGGAGAAAAGTCAATGTCTATGGCAGTCAATCCTTTTTCTTTTCTTTCTTTCTCACTTTCTTTTGTTTTCCTTCCTTCCTTCCTTCCTTCCTTCCTTCCTTCCTTCCTTCCTTCCTTCCTTCCTTCCTTCCTTCCTTCAAGTCAGTGTTGACTCCTGG